AACGAAGGGGAACTAAGTCTTCCTATTCGGCTTAAGTTTGGCGCCAGCTAGTGGTCAGAAGGATTTTTCAGTCCAAAGAGCACAGATGTAATTGGATTTCAATTCAAAATATAGAAGTACCCAAAGATTTGGAGAATAGTAATCTAAGGAAGGCTGAGAGTCAGATGTCATACGGAGATATTACTTAAAACTCCTACGATGGGCCAAACACAGCAAGATTTTTTTTTTTTTGTATCGCCCTACTACAGCCTGCCTGGTCATATGAAACTTACTCCCACCTCACAATCTTCGCCGCCCGCAAGGAGGCGATCAATCCAGACGTTCTTGCTGCATCAAGCGGGAGCTTATCCGCAGTTGCAAAACCACAACGCCCAGCAGCCTTCGCGCTCCAGAAGACCACAACTCCCTGCAGGCGCTGCGTTCAGCCTTCAGCCCTTTCCTATTCCCTCTTCTTTTCACGTGTCCCTCGTACGGGGAGAGAAAGAGGGGACTTTTATTTAAAGGAAGACCAACCTGTTCCATTTCTCCAGTTGAGAAGGATACCATTCAAGTCAGGCTGCGAGTCCCGTGCTGCAAGATGATTTCTCCGAGTTGTTTTTTTCCCTGCTCGTGCGTCACATCTGAATATTACTGGTGCTATAAAGCGTCACGTGATAAAACCTAGCCTGCTGATTAGTGCTTCTTTATGACTTGCGTTGATTTGAAGGAAATTTACACGGATCTTTCTTGTTTGCAAATCCTTAATACTTGTTTCTGCCTAGCGTTGTTTACTAAAGAAACAAAACCAGAAGCAAAATAGTGGATTTTTTTGGAAAATGCCCCAGAGTTCGGGAGGAATAAAGTTAGGAAAAGCCTGATACGAAGAAGAGACCCTGAAGCTTCAGGATCACCCCATATGCAAAAGGAAGAACAAGAGAAGTTTCGGGGGTGAGGGGGGGCAGATTAGCCTCATTAGATCCCGAAGAGGTTGAAGGATACGCAGGTTTCGTAAAACACGGGAAAGTACTGTGATATTTATATTGGCCAAAGCTTGCCATGGGCTAGTGCATTGTGAGAGTCAGTTGAAATAAAACATTCTCTCTTCTCTTAGAACTTCTAGCGCTTTTGAAGAACATGAAAAAAATTATTGCAGCATTTGGCTTTTACCTCCTATTCTGAATCTTATGTTCTTTTTCAATATCAAATTGGCATACACGAGACCATGTATTCCATCATGGCTGAGACTAGTATATAAACAAACCTGTCAGTTTTGTAATTCTATAATTATGTTATTTAATTAATTAGAAACAACAGCATAATGCAGCAGACCTGGTTCTATGCAATAAGCTGAATATTTGTACATTTAAATTGGATTTGGGAAAAAAAATATATCTTTAGGGAGCAGTAAGAGCTGATTATACAAATGCAGCTTTCCTTTCCAATCCAGTGGAAAATGCAGAGGTTCATTTTCAGCTAAGCATCCTTGTCAGCAAGCGAAGTTAAGCAATATGTGCATACATGTAGTATATCAGATTTTATAATGTAGTATTTCAGTATGTCAGATTTACTCATCAACATACCTATTACTTTATTCTGTTTTGGATATGTAGTTACAATGTAAAGTGTAAAAAGAGTAAAAAAAGTCCAAAAAATTAAAGTTTAAAAATGAAAGATATATAAGAAAAATACAACACACGCTAATTTACACCTACATATTTAGTATATTGTTCCCCTCCATAGATTTATGTCCTTACAAATGATACATATGTCCCTATACCACTTCATGAATTGTTTTTGTTCTTGAAACCTATCACTTATGGATGATATCATCAATTCCATATTATTACAACTTTTGGTCTTCCTTTTTTTTCAGTCTAACCACTGTATACTAGTTTTGCGATTCGTTCTTCAGCATCTAGTAGACAAACTGGGCCTTTTAGGCTTAAACACTCTTCTGTGCAACTGGATTCTTGATTTTCTTACCAACGCCCCAATATGTGCGAGTTGGAAAAAATACCTCTAATACCATTTTCTTGAGCATAGGTTCTCCTCAGGGCTGTGTCTTAAGTCCATTGCTGTTCACCCTATTGACCCATGACTGTTGTGCTAGGTTTGCCACCAACCATATTGTAAAGTTTGCAGATGATACAACAGTAGTGGGCCTTATTCAGGATGACAAGGTGGAAGCTTATCGCAAGGAGGTTGAAGGGTTGGTGAACTGGTGTAAGGAAAACAGCCTAGTTTTAAATACCGCAAAAACCAAAGAGATCATTGTTGATTTCAGAAAAGGCAGGCACAGCCACACTTCTGTGTGCATAAATGATTCACCTGTGGAGAGGGTTACCAGCATCAAATTCCTGGGTGTGCTGCTAACGAGTAGGCTGACTTGGTCGCTCAACAATGAGAAACTGGTGAAGTGGGCACAGCAGCGCCTGCATTTTCTGCGCTGCATGAGAAAAGCACATCTTCCTTTCCCTCTCCTGACCACTTTCTACAGGGGGGCAATCGAGAGCATCCTGTCATACAGCATCACAGTCTGGTTTGGAGGCATCACTGCTTCAGACAGGAAGGCGGTGCAGAGAGTGGTGAGAATGGCTGAAAAGATCATTGGCAATTCCCTCCCTCCCACCCAGGACATAGCATAGAAGTGCTGCTTGAGCAGGGTCCGTAAGATTATCTGGGACACTACACATCCTCTTCATGACCTGTTTTCCTTCTGGGAGGAGGCTTCGTGGTATCCAAAGCAGAACATCCAGATTCAGCCAGAGTTTCATTCCATACAGCATTAACCTTGCGAACTCTCAAGCTTCCTCCTTCCGTTATATATTCAAGATGGACAATATTTAATATTTATTTGCTACGTATATGTAGGGATGTGGGTCTATACATATGTTGTTCATAGTATGTTTAGGTGTGTGTCATGTATGTGTTTTACTTTGAGAGCGGGCAACTGAATTTCATTTTTGATGTGTGCCATTGTGCCCACAGTATAAAAATGACAATAAAGGTTATCTTATCTAATTCTGTATGGCCAAACCACATCTACGTACTTCTTTTGAATCAGTCACTCACTATTGCACTCAGTCACCTTCATTAATCACTCATTTGTTCTGGTTTTACCACACAGACGTACGGTATTCCCGTTCCATTTATTTTGTTTTTGTTGACATACTTAACTCTCACGCCATATAGCAAAGTCAACAAATGGTTTAACAGAAAATTGTTCTTCATTTTTTGCAACAAGAATATAATACCTACCAGCATTTGCACATCTTTAAAACTTCGTGCAATTTTTCCATCTTTTATTCTGTCAAACACAGCTACTTTGATTTTTAATGTTTCAGTTTTCCTCTTCAATCTTGTTTTTGCATCATTCTATTTAATAAATCATTTGGATTCTTAGCCAATCATAATCACATTCATGCCCCTATAAACTGTCTTCTAACATCACCATAATTTTCATTATTTTTATTTGTATCTCGCCTTTATTATTTTTACAAATAACTCAAAGTGGCAAACATTGCCAATGCACCTTCTGCCTCCTATTTTCCCACAACAACCCTGTGAGGTGGGTTGGGCTGAAACAGATTGGTCCAAAGTCATTATGCATTATATTCATGAAATCAAATAAAGGGCAATACATATGCACTCAATGATGAACCATCATTTACTAAGCATCCCATTTATTCCTCAAACATGCTTAATGTCATGGTTCCCACAGAGACGAATAAAGCAGAACTCCAAGGCTTGCAAATTACTCAAAGAACATGTTTTTTAGTTACAAAGTATCGGCACGTCAAAAGTGAAACCAAGTCTGAAGACACACGTAACAGTTCTCCAGTACAAAGTTAAAAAATCCCTCCCCTAAAACTATGCAAGCAACTAGGTTACCTCAATACATCTTCTTGGCGGGCCTTTTATGCAACACCCAGCCTGCAGTCTTGGGAGCAGCCGATGACCTTGGTTCCCACAGGACAAAAGATTATTTAGACTAGCGAAGCACCTGGGCAACCTCTCTCCCTCCGTTTTACATGGCAACTGAAAATGAGTAGGGAAAAGGGCTGCAGCCATGCTCATTTGTTGAGTTGACACTTTTCTTCCATTATACATTGTTCTAACTACATTCAGCAACCAATCTTCCACTCCATATTTTGCAAAACATTCAAGCCTATTCATGTTATCTTATACTTCCTCAAATATATAGTAAACCAACAAATATATAGTAAGTTGATTCAGAATAGTTACTAAATATATTTTTATTTAAATTGTTAAATTATATAGCAAATCCTATTTATTTTAATTTTTAATGTATTAAAATATATTTTAATATTTGTAATATTCCTAAATCCAAGGAATATTTCATTTAAACAAAACTTAATAAAATTTCTAAACTGATTTTTTTTATTCTTAGTTTATATTTCTTAATATAATAAAACTTGGGGTCACTTTTAAAATATTTTCTGCTTATTTTGTCTTTTATTTAATGAGGGTACCTGTGGGAAAGTTAAAAGTATATGAAATCTTTGATTTGGGATGAAAATATAAGTGAATTAATATTGCAGTAAGAGGTGATAAGCCACCTGGGAAAGCCAAGGGAAATCATCAAAACAATTAAAAAATGAAAGTTAGAATATTTCAGACATGTGATGTGATACCCAGAAAAATATGGCATACTCCACTTAATTCTCCAGGGAAAGATTGAATGCAAACGAGGTCCAGGCAGAAGAAGAACATTGGGGCTTCAAAATCTAAGGGACTGGTTTGGACAAAACTCAGCAGCACTTTTTCGTGCGGCTGCTAATAAAAACAGGATCGCCAACATGATTGCCAATGTCCGATAACGGATATGGCACAAGAAGAAGTATTATTCTATAGATTACCTTCCTTCTTTCTGTGTCATTATTTGTTTATTTATCCCCAAAACTAAATGTTACTTTTACAAAGCTCAAGTTACATTAGCAGCTTACTTTTAATACAGCTGTTCAGAAGTAAATTCCATTCAATTCAGCTGGGCTTATTTTAACAGGATAGGATTTCAACATTGTCATCCAAAAGCTTAGGACTTGGACAATGTGTGTGTTTGTGTGTGTGCTATGAAAAAAAACTTAACTTGCTAATTTTTAAAATCAAATTGTATCCCAGACAGCTATGGTTTGTTGTTTTAACCAATTGGTACTTTTTCCCCTCTGATAAGCTTATGAAAAAATATGTGATTCTGTTTCTATGAAAGCAGTTGCAAACCTTTAACAGATTTTAATACATCAAGATTTCAAATCACTATATATATATATTTTAAAAAAGATTCTCTTCAACAGGTTTCTGATGCGTGGCCATATTTTTGGCAGATACACCACTGAGCAAGCAAACAAGCATTGTGGAATCTGTAGAAGAAAGTGGGGGCTAAGGGGAGGGTTTCATTCAGACGTGAAGGCAGCTTCACAAAGTGTGCGGAGAAACCTGGGCTCAGTTCAGGTAGGTGTGAAAGATTTTCACTGTCGCTGGACTGGAGGTGGGGAGAGGCTGAGGGGGTGGGCAGAGCACAGGCGCGAAGGCTCTATCTATCCTGGAGTGCCCACCCACGGTGAGTGCCAGGTGACAGGCAGAGCCCCTATATATGCTGCCGTGGCACATCCATCCACACACAATCCTCGCGGCTGCTTTTTAAGACTAAAGTTTGTTCCCAGTTTGGCGGCTAGAGGGAGCCATGGATGATGCGCTCGAACCAAACAGCCAAGCTCTGGGAGCCAACTTGTCCAGCCCTCAGCATCCCGCCTGGAACTTGAATCTTTCTTTCCCCTCTCGCTGGGCTTTGGCCGGACAGTCTGCGCAGACCATCGGGGCGGGCACGATCATGCTGCTGGCGCTGGTGGGTAACTGCTTGTTGTTGTACCGACTCCGTTGCGGAGGATGCTGCTGCGGAGGTCGGTTCAGGAGGCGGCGGAAGATGGATTTCCTCCTGGCGCACTTGGCTATAGCCGATCTCTACGGATGCGGACTAGCGTTGCTCTCTCAGCTGCCTCCAGCAGAGGACGATCACGTTGCAGAGCCGGGAGACTCGGGATGGCTGGCCGGAGACACCACCTGCCGTTTGCTCCGCTTCCTGCAAGGCTCGGGATTGCTAGCGCCGTCGCACATGCTGATTCTTATTGCGCTCGAGCGACAGCGCTTGGCGAAGGGGCCTCCGCCCCCTCAGGAATCGCTGCCGCCTTTCGTGCTCGCCCGGAGCGCCCTGGTCGCTCTGGGCTGGCTCTTGGCTTTGCTGCTCGCCCTGCCTCAACTCTTCGTTTACAGGCTGGCCCCGTCGCAGCCCGGAGGCCGCTGCCTCAGCATCTTCCCTCAGCTGCCCCGATGGCACGGACAGGTCTACGCAGTGTACGAAGCCATTACGGGCTTCGTAGCTCCCGCCTGCCTCTTGGGCAGGACCTGCAGCCGCATCCTCGCCATTCTCAGCGCTTCTGGAGCCGAGGAAGAGGAGCCGTCGCAAGAGGGGCCCGGCGGCAGCGCCGGACCCAGTCGCGTTGAGCTGCCTGGTGTCGCCGGTCCCGCTCCGCCACTTCTTCTGAGGCTTCTGCCGATCTCCAAGTGCGCTTCCCGGTCGCCGTCTGCGCCGCAAAGCCTGCCCCGCGCACGAATCAGGGCACTGCAGCTGACTTTGGCGCTCGCCGCGCTGTTTGCGCTCTGCGGTTTCCCGCGTTTTATTTTGGAGCTGGGCTTAGCTTTTGCCTTTCCCGAGGGCGCCACCCAAGAAGCCCGGACGACCCTGAACAACATGATGGCAGCCACCAACAGCGCCATTAATCCCTACGTTTGCCTCTTATTTCATAGCTACCAGCCCTGGGCGCGGCGGCTCCAACGTAGCCTCTGCAGGTGCCCCGATGGACAACCCAGACGGCAAGCTCGCCACCGGCAGCGACTGTCACCAAGGGCGGCCGCGGATCGTGCTGAACTTTGGCTCTGCCCCTGTCAGACTAAGACGCCTGCCATCGCAACAGCCATCCAGCTAGAGAAGGAGGAGAGCCGGGCTATTTGCGAGAGCAGATTCTAACTTGGAGGGTCGAATTTGAAGGAGGCTTCATTTGCTGTTACCATCCACGAAGAGCAGAAGGTTGAAGAAAGGAGAAAGGACCTTTTGACACTTAGGATGGCCTTAACTCTGTTTGGGCCTTTGATACCATGTGCTCCACTGACCTAAGAGTAAAATAAAAGATTCCAGGGTACTTGCTTGCCTGCGGGTCATGTTTTCAAGGCTTTACCCTGAAAAACAGAGAAAGGAAAAGATACTCTGCACTTGCTCAAGAGCCCACTTTAAGCTCTTTAGTTCTTTTTAATTGCTTATCCAGTTGTAGGAATTTAAGCTCATATAAAATTACATTACCATTGTAAGTTAATTCTAGCTTTACTGATCTGAATGTACACGAATCAGAAATTGTGTTTGCTTGTTTTGTTCATAGAACAAATATGGGAAGGTTAGTCAGACAATTCTAGGTAGGCCATAGAGCTGCGAGAGAAAATACTGTAGGACTTGTGCTTGTTTAACTTTTGGGGCAAAGCTACGGAAGCATCTTACTGGCAAGGAGGAAAGGTTGCTGCATCTTGGCCTTGTCTCCCTTTCGTTACACAATTTGAGGGCCAGCCCATCCACCAATCTACCTGAAGCCTTTACCACTCTGCTGCTGTACTTCTATCAGTCAGTCCTTTGGTCCTCCCTGGATCATTTCATCCTCTTTTTCACTTAGTTCTTTCCAATTGCCTGGCATTTTCCTTACTATCCCCCAATCCAGAATGTTTCTGCCCAAAGGGTATTCTGGCATAATAACAACAACAACAACAACAACAACAACAATAATAATAATAATAATAATAATAATAATAATAATAATAATAATAATAAAAGTTGGAAGGGACCTTGGAGGTCATCAAGTCCAACCCCCTGCTCAGGCAGAAAACCCTATACCAGCGGTTCTCAACACTGGGATCGCCAAACAACGCAGTCCGCCATTTTTCCCCTCTTTTCCTGAGCTGTGCTACTCCCTCTTATTCTATTGGCTTTTGAAAGCCAATAGAATAGACTCTATTCAAGAGACTCTATTCTATTGGCGTTCAAAAGCCAATAGAATCTATTGGCTTTTGAAAGCCAATAGAATAGACTCTCTTGAATAGAATCTAATTCTATTGGCTTTCAAGAGCCAATAGGAATTGTCCAGGCTGTCTCTGCCCTTCTCAGCCCGCCAAAAGTCCCAGTCTGCAAACGGTGCTACAAGTTGTCTGCAGCTAAGGCGAGCTTTCTGGATGTTTCCACCCCTCCCTGCTGAGCCAATACTAAATGTAAGTAAAAGAGGGCCAGGGGTGGGAGGTGGGAGGCCGGCGGGTGCCAGGAGGATTGCTGGCACGTGTGGGGCCCAGCGGGTGCCTTACCTCCCTTGGGCTGGGCCAGCTGGTGGCCCAGCCGGTGGTCGGCCTGCGCCGTTGCTGCTGCTTGCCAGCTACGCCTCGGCCGGCGCAGGGGGCAGCACCATGCATGTGCGGCGCTCCCGGGCCGAGGCGGTTGCTGGACAATGGCCTGTGTGCACCCTCGGCCTGCCCAGCGTGCGCTCCAGCCGCAGGAGAGGAGGCGGAGCATGCATGCCTCCTCCTGCCCGCCCGCAGGGAAATACAGGTAGTCCTTGACTTACGACCACATGGTTGGGGGTCGCGGCATTAGGAAGGTTGAGAACCACTGCCCTATACCATTTCGGACAAGTGGCTGTCCAGTCTCTTCTTAAAAATTTCCAGTGTTGGAGCATTCACCAATTCTGGAGGTAGGTTGCTCCATTGGTTAATTGTTCTAACTGTCAGGAAGTTTCTCCTTAGTTCTAGGTTGCTTCTCTCCTTGATCAGTTTCCATCCGTTGCTTCTTGTCCTGCCTTCAGGTGCCTTGGAGAATAGCTTGACTCCCTCTTCTTTGTAGCAGCCCCTGAGATATTGGAACACTGCTATCATGTCCCCCCTCATCCTTCTCTTTGTTAAACTAGACATAACCAATTCCTGCAAAAATTCCTTATGTGTTTTAGCCTCCAGTCCCCTGATCATCTTTGTTGCTCTTCTCTGTACTTTTTCTAGAATCTCAGCATCTTTTTTACATTGTGGTGACCAAAACTGGATGCAGTATTCCAGGTGTGGCCTTACTAAGGCATTGTAAAGTGGTATTAATACTTCACATGATCTTGATTCTATCCCTCTGTTAATGCAGCCCAGCACTGTGTTGGCTTTTTTGGCAGCTGCAGCACACTGCTGGCTCATATTTAAGTGATTGTCCACTAGGACTCCGAGATCCCTCTCACAGTTACTACTATTGAGCAAGGTACCCCTTATACTATACCTAAATGTAGAACCTTACTTTTTTCACCATTGAATTTCATTTTGTTAGATAGCGCCCAGTGTTCAAGTCTGTCCAGGTCCTCCTGTATCTTAAGCCTGTCTTCTGGAGTGTTGGCTATTCCTGCCAGCTTGGTATCATCTGCATCTATCCCCTCATCCAAATCATTGATGAAGATGTTGAAAAGCACTGGGCCTAGAACAGAGCCCTGGGGCACCCCACTACACACTTCCCTCCATGTAGATGCTGAGTACGGCCGGTCAGCCAGCTATGAATCTGTCTGGTGGTGATGCTGTCTACCCCACATTTTTCTATCTTATCGAGTAGTAGGTTGTGATCTACTTCAGGGCTTTTCAACCTTTTCACCCATTGTACCACTTTCAGGATATAGCAACATCCGAGTACCACCAGTCGCCTAGCAAGGTGTCAAAAACTTGATGACCAAAAAGGAAAAAGTGGTAAAGTACAGGTAGTCCTTGACTTACAACAGTTCGCTTAATGACTGTTCGAAGTTACAATGGCATTGAAAAAAGTGCTTCCCAAGCCATAGCCGAACAAGACACCTACCTGCCCACCCAGCGGCGCTCTTCCTCCTGTTTGAGGTTTTCATTGTTGTGAGCATTTCTGATGAGGATTGGCAGTGGGGGTGGGGTGGAGGGGTGTTTGGTTTTTATTCCCCCCATCTGCTGGGTGGTTGCAGCAGGTTTTGGTCACTTCACATGACCCTGGGACACTGTGGCCGTCATAAATATGAATCAGTTGCCAAGCATCTGAATATAAATCACAAGACCCTGGAGATGCTGCAACATTCCAGCTGATCAGTGCTTCTTCTGGGCTCAGCAGAAGCACTAGGATCAGCGCCGAGCTGCAGCTGGAGCCTGGTGCTGATCCTGGCACTTCCGCTGAGCCCTGACAGCCCTGCAACTCCAGTCATCTCTCGCTCAGGCTTGTGCAGTGCTGCCACCGGTTCACCTCATTCCCCTCCCCCACTACCACTTTTCTAGGATGGCTGCATACCACCTGCAAGGTGACAATGTACCACAGGTGGTACCCATACCACTGGTTGAAAAGCCTTGATCTACTTTATCAAATGCCTTACTGAAGTCCAAGTAAATTATATCCACAGCATTTCTCTGATCCCCTAATTTTGTCACTTGGTCAAAGAATGCAATAAGTTTTGTCTGGCATAGTCTGTTTTTGACAAACCCATGTTGCCTTTATTTGTAGTGATTTTGTTTGCCTCTAGGTGTTCGCTGTTTTGTTTGATTATTTTTTCCAGAATCTTCCCAGGTATTGAGGTCAGGCTGATAGGTCTGTAATTTCCTGGATCCATTTTTTTTTTCATTTTTTGAAGATGGGAACTACATCAGCTCTTTTCCAGTCCTCTGGTAGTTCTCCAGTGCTCCAAGATCTTTGAAAAATATAGTTCAGTGGTTCTGAGATGACATCTGCCAGTTCCTTGAGAACCTTGGGGTGTAATCCATCTGGTCCTGGTGATTTGAACTCGTCTAGGCTGGACAGGTGCTCACCATTTTCTTGCCTATCTTAACTTGTATTTCTATACTCTTTTTATGGCACTATTTTTGATAGGTTGGTCTGTTTTTTCCCTTTGTGTAAAGACAGATGCAAAAAATGAGTTAAATAGTTCTGCTTTCTCCCTATTGCTTGTCACCTTCTTGCCACTTTCACCCACTAATGGACCAATCATTTCCTTCACTGTTTTCTTTTACATGTTAAAAGAAGCTTTTTTTCTTATTTTTGACTTTGGTCACAAGCCTTTGTTCATTATGAGCCTTAGGTTTCCTCACTTCATCTTTGCAGGCTCGGGCTATTTGTTGATATTCTGATTTAGTTATGTGCCCCTCTTTCCACTTTCTATTCTTGTCCTTTTTATCTTTCAATTTATCAGAGAGTTCTTTATGCAGCCATGCTGGTTTCTTTTGAGAGCTGTTATTTTTCCTCTTTGTTGGTATTGAACTAGACTGGGCTTCTATTATCTTGCTTTTCAAAATTTCCCAAGCCTCTTGAGTTGTTTTCCCCTGGAGGATTCTCCTCCATGGAATCCTTCCCAAGCCCTCTCTAAGTTTATTGAAATTAGCTCTCTTGAAGTCCAAGACTCTAGTTTGACTGTGTTCTATTGCTTGTGCTTCCATAATATTGAATTCCAATACTGCATGATCACTACCTCCCAAGGTTCCTGTGGCTTCAACACCTTCTATCATTTCATCTTTGTTAGTGAGAATTAGATCCAAAACGGCTAATCCCCTAGTTCCCTTCTCTACTTTTGGGGAGACAAAGTTTTCTGCTAGATTTGCAGGAATCTGTTTGATCTTCCACTTGGTGCAGAGTTTGTCTCCCAGTTGATGTCAGGGTAATTAAAGTCCCCCATTACTATGGTGATGTGCTTCCTACATACCTTAGTTAGCTGACTAGCAAAAAGTTCATCTATTTCCTGGCGTACTAGTATACACCTATGGCAATGTCATTTTTTCTCCCTTTTATATTGACCCAAATGCATTCAAGACAGTTTTCGTCATTGTTGTGCTCTATTTCTGTGGAGATGTAGTTATTTCTTATATAGAGAGCAACTCCACTTCCTCTTTTATTTGGTCTGTTTCTTTTAAATAATTTAAATCCCTTGTGTTTAAATCAAACACAGAGAAATGCTCAGACTAAACACATATATACCAATGTAGGCATTGACCATCAATACAACATATCTCTAGTTTTATTTTTCATATTTCCAGACAGAGCTAGAGAAACAAGGACTACTTTTGTTGCTATGCAGAGAGATTGTATTATTAATTCCTTCTGACATTTAGTCATATTCCACATATTTATTGCAAATAAAT